ATTTGCTACTTGCTGCTGTGATTTGTAAGGTGGTGAGTGACATGGTTAACTGTGTCAACTTGTTTAGGTCACAGTATCCAGATATTTGGTCAAACATATCTGGACATTGTTGTGAAGGTATTTTTTTTTTTTTTTTAGATGACATTAACACCTTTGAGTAAAGCAGATCACCCTCCATAATGTGGGTGGGCCTCACCCAATACTTGAAGACCTCAAGAAAAAGAATGACACTCCCTGAGGAAGAGGGAATTCTGCCAGCACATTGCCTTCAGACCCTGAAACTGCAACATCCAGCCTGCTAGCCTCCCCTGAAGACTGTGATCTTGTTGGTCTCTACAATCACGAGTTAATTCTTTTTTTTTTAATTATTTTAATTTTATTTTTAATAAACATATAATATATTTTTATCCCCAGGGGTACAGATCTGTGAATCGCCAGGTTTACACACTTCACAGCACTCACCATAGCACATACCCTCCCCAATGTCCATAAACCCACCCCACCAACCCCCCTCCCCCCATCAACCCTCAGTTTGTTTTGTGAGATTGAGAGTCACTTATGGTTTGTCTCCCTCCCAATCCCATCACCAGTCAATTCTTAAAATAAATACTATGCACCCCTCCACACCCCATTCTCTTCTATTGGTTCTGTTTCTCTGCAGAACCCTGACTGCTATAATGAGTAAAGAGCTCAAGTTAACCCTACTTTGGGCTTAGACTGAGGCAAGAACTGGGGAGTAGGGTATCTCCATTACTTTGTATTTGCATTCAGGTATAATTACACTTTTGCCAAAAAAATAAAAAATAAAAAATTAATAGTGCCAATTGATTTGTGTGACATAATTAAATACACCAATATTTTGTGCTTCCATGATACCCAGATGTTTTACCACCCACACTTACTTGAAAACCACTGATCTGATTACATAAGGAAGACAAGGTTGCTTTTGCCAACCCACTGCCATGCTTCTCTTCTCAAGCTATCAAGCCTCTCAGTAGAAGGGGTCTGGCCCAATCCACGAAGTAGTTTCAGAAATGTAATCATAGAGTCCTAAAACTAAGCATTTATGTATCACAGTTTAATAAAGTGCTTTCAAATACAGTATTCTAAATTCTTCTAAACAACTACGTGAGTTAGGTAACAGAGGTACTATTATAACCTTCCTATTTTGGAAAAGAGAGAACTGAGAATGACTTTATTTAACTTCTGTATGTCATACAGCTAGTCTGTTCAGTGAGTCCAGGGCAAAGTCAGGATTAGAAACCAGTTCTTTTGTGCCTTACCTAGTACTTTTTCTTACCACCCAAACATATATTTGGCCAGGTAAGCAAACTCTTTGTCAAATTAAAATGCCAATTTAGTTAGCATCCTAACAAGGAAATTTACTGTCCATGCTGTCAGTGGTTTTTGACAAGGAGATGAGAAGAAAGTGGGGTTAGGACACTGGGAAGCAAGTCCTACTAGTGCTAGGGATGGCCAGAGACCTGGAAGTTCATGGAGCAACTGGTGAGATATCCGCATTTTTCTACAGAATGAATTCCAAGTCTATCAAGTCTTTTTTTTTTTTTTTAATTCCTCCTTTTTCCTTTCTCAACTTGTCAAAATAAGTCTAATTCAAATAGACCCTACTCTGGGAAGCAATTCCTAATCACTCAGTCAAATTAATCACTCTCTCCTCTATACTCAGTCACATCCTTTATTATAGGACTACTTATATATTAAGCATGGCTGTCTCTCTAACCAAGTGCTATAGAAGTTAGGGTAGCTTTCTGCCATTATTTTTATCAATCGATAAACACTGAAAGTACTATTGTGTGAAGGTCCAAGGGGTTTTTATTACTATCAAAAGAGATCCTTAAAGTTCGTTTTAAGTGATGAGAAGTTGGTGAAAGATTTTTTTTTTTAAGAAAACACTTTCATTGCTGTTTTCATAAAACATGAATACATTTTACTTTAACACTTTAGAAAATATAGATAAACAAGACAATAAAAAAATATCCAGTAGTCCTAGCACCTAATGTTCATTTTTTTTTTAAAGATTTTATTTATTTTGAAACAACATGGGATCGGGAGGGAGACAAACCATAAGAGACTGTTAATCTCACAAAACAAACTGAGGGTTGCTGGGGGGAGGGGGGTAGGGAGAGGGTGGTGGGGTTATGGACATTGGGGAGGATATGTGCTATGAAGTGTGTAAACCTGGCAATTCACAGACCTGTACCCCTGGGGCTAATAATACATTATATGTTAATAAAAAATAAAAAAATTTTAAAAAGATTTTATTTATTTAACAGAGAGAGATCACAAGTAGGCAGAGAGGCAGGCAGAGACAGAGGAGGAAGCAGGCTCTCTGCTGAGCAGAGAGCCGGATGCAGGCCTCGATCCCAAGACCCTGAGACCATGACCTGAGCTGAAGGCCGAGGCTTAACCCACTGAGCCACCCTGGTGTCCCTAATGTTAATATTTTTATATAAACTCCTAGCCCCTTATATATGTATAAATGGATATTTATATATGTATAAATGTTTTTAATTCTATAGTTAACTGAAATCTCTCTTCACTAATATTTAGAAACATCTTTTGATGTGACATTTATACATCTGCATCATTTGAATAGCTACACAGTATTCTGTTAGATGGCTATTCCATGACTTATCTCCTGCTGTTGGGCATTAAGGTTGTTTCTAAGTTTTCTAATATAAAGAATAAAGAGATGAACATTTCTGTGTGTGTATGTCAACATTTGTCCAATTATTTCATTAGCATAGTCCTCTGGAAATGAGTCAAAGGCCCACTTTGAAGCTTTGGTGCCTATTGCCAAATAACTCACAGGAAATCTGCACCCACGCATATGCATGTGTCTGAGTGTCCGTTTTCCACATCTTTGTCAGAGTACTATAATTATTATTGTTTTTATTGTTGTTGTTATTTTAGTATTTATCAAGTAGAAAAGCATTTAAAGTTACTTTTTTTTTTTTGGCTAGTAAGATTGAACTTTTTTCTTTAACAGCTTTGAGGGATAATTCATATGCCATAAAATTCAGCCAGTGTACGTATACAACCCAATGATTTTAGAAATTATGTAGTTGTATAACCATTACCACAATCCGCTTTTAGAACATTTCTGTTGAGTAAGGGACAGGTGAGGCTAGGTAGGGAGAGACATATAGGGAGTGACAGGGCTAGGGTCATGCAGGGGGCTACCTAAGCAGGCTCACAGAAATCCCAGATGTGGAGAAACGTTACAGACAAGATACTAACCACAAAGAAGGGAACATAACTAATCTACTCTGTTTGTTCTACATATAGATGAGATACTTTCATATTTACAAATCCACCTTGTCTTAAATGTTATAGACTAGCTATTTACCAAGTTCTCTGGTCAGTTTTCTATAAAAGACTAACCATAAAAGCCATCAGTGGCAACCCATTCGGGACCCCTTTCTCTCTAGAAAGCTTTCCTTTCTGTTCTCACCTTGCCTTAATAAACTTTCACTTGCACTTCAACCTTTTGTCCATGAGATTCATTCTTTGACTCTGTGAGACAAGAACCCTGCAACACTGTCATCCTAGAACGTTCCCCCCCCCCACACCTGTTAATGATTAATCCCTGCTCCTGTGCCCAGGTCCAGACAGCTATCGCTTTGCTTTCTGTTCCTATAAATTTGCCTTTCTAGACATTTCATATACATGGAACCATACAGATGTTGGATTTTGTTTCTGGCTTCTTTCACTCACATTATGTTTCTGAGGTTATCCATGAGCATGGATCACTAGTTTGACCCTGAACTTTTTTCCTCTTCATGTTTATTTGCAGTTTTTCCTCTGAGAATTGTCTGCTGCAAAGGTCCTTGACCTTTTTCTATTGGGGCACTGAATGATTTTACAGACAAAGAATATAAACAGTGTCATTAAATACTGGATTCTGGCAGCACTGGGAAGAATGACTCTATATGCCTTTCCAAATCTAGGACAATCAGTAAAAGTTTACTGCACTGAATTAGGTTTTATCTTCATACAATAAAGGACTATGAGATGGTATTAAGGAGTAATTTATTTGAATCATTTCAGTGTCCTCTACTTAAGGAGTGTCATATATATATATTTTTAAGATTTTTAATTTTTTTTTTTTTTTTTGACAGAGACACAGTGAGAGAGGGAACACAAGCAGGGGGAGTGGGAGAGGGATAACAGGCTTCCCACACAGCAGGGAGCTGGATGCGGGGCTTGATCCCAGGACCCTGGGATCATGACCTGAGCAGAAGGCAGACACTTAACAACTGAGCCAACCAGGCGCCCCCAGAGTGTCAAAGATTTCTAATTTATTTTCTAGAAAATGTTCAAGTTAATCCTTAAAAGCTGATTTTACTTTAATGTAGTAGAAATAGATCCTTTTTGGGACAAAGCAGAGTAAATAAATAAATGTTGCTCTTGGTAGCAAGTTCCTACATCAAGAGCCCTTAAAACGTTCCTCAGCTATTCTGAAATTCATTAAATAGCTATTGGACAATGAGACAGTATTCTTTGTACTCTTCGTCTCTGTAAAAATTAAAAGAAACAATAACAACAATAACAAAACCTGCTGCAAGACCCACCCTCAAGTAAAAACTCTAATCTAAAAAATAAAAAAATCCGATTTTGATCCCAAGTTAACCATTAATGAATTTGTACCCCATGCTCCTTTGCTAAATCCTGTTTGACTCTTCCAGAAATAGAAGTGCAGATTTGGTAAAAGTTAGAGCTCTTAAAGGTAGCAGAGGAATGCAGTTTGACATATGTGAGGGCAGAAAACTTTTCATTATACTTCTTCAACCTCCTAAATGCCCCACCCTTGTGGACAGTTCACCTTAAAGCTAGAGAGAAGCTTAAGTCATGGGCTCCTCATTTGCCTGACTGCTTTCCTAATTTTGCATGTATTTCCTTAAAGGGAAACTCCAAATTATATAAGCATCCAGCCCCAAAAAACCTGGGTCTGCCTTATAACAAAAGATCTCTCCCACCTGTCCCAAAGGTTGTCTGTAGGTTGCTCTTTAACTTCATGGGTTGAATGTAGATTCATTTCTCCAAAACTTCTTTTCCATGACTTTTTCTAGACATCCTTTTAAGAAATATGTTATGTAAATAATTAAGTGACAATACAAATGATATACCTAGAATCCCATCACCTCATCAGGTCACCCATGTTTATTCTTCTATGGCCCCTTCCAGTTTTTGTCCACATGTCTATATCATTTTATGTGATTACCCTAGGATTTTGAGAAATTTTCTTTAAAAAAGTGTTATCTTGATAAACGTGCAACATAAATTTGCATTTATTGCACCTGTCCCATAGTCACCTCTTCAAAAGGTATATGATGTGCCTACATCCCAGCATTCAATGGAGACAGACCAGCAGGAAAAGCTCAATGCCTGGCATTTCAGTGACAACTAGGGAAAATGACCAGCTGTTGGTACACAGGGCAAAGGAAGCTAAACTCGGGCTCCTGGGTGGCTTAGTTGGTTGAGTGTCTGCCTTTGGCTCAGATCATGATCCCAGGGTCCTGGAATGGAACCCCACATCGGGCTCCCTGCTCAGTGGGGACTCTGCTTCTCCCTCTCCCTCTTCTCCTGCTTGTGCTCTCAAATAAATAAATAAAATCTTAAAAAATAAATGCTAAGTGTCAAGGCTACATGCACTTTGTTCATTACTATATACTCTGTGTTTAGCACAGGGTCTGGCATTCAGTAAGAACATTGATTTAAGGTCTAATTCTGAATCTGATTGAACCAGTTCTATTTTGGGGGGGAGGGGGGCTGATGGAATAAAATTTTAGAAAATAGCAATTAACTGATTGCTTTCCATTAAAGTCAAATCTGTCTCATTAATTTAAGTGTGCATTAAGTGTCTGCTATGACCCAACAAAACTACATCAGTTGGGATCAAGTGAGGGTGAAAGGAGGAAAAATCTGGAGTATGCTCTTTCTAGTCTCAATCCCAATTGCAATCCTTACTTTATGGCCCGTGATGAATAAGGAGAATGGAGAATTTTTTAATCTTTTAAAAAAGACAGAAGAGTAAGGAAATATGCAAAAAATGACATTGGGGGAAAAGAAGGAAATTTTACTAAGAGAAGGCAGAAAAGTAAAGCTCTTTATTGCCCTTAAATAGCTCTAGAAGATTATGACACTTAGCTCTTTGCCAGAAACTAGGGTACACTTACCTGAAATTCCACCTTCATTTTGTAAGGTTCTTGCAGGGCGAGATCACAACAGTTTATTGTCCAAAAGGGGTGATCATTTTAGATCTTGGTGAACATAACCCAGCACATATCTTTCTCCAGGATGGAATACTAAAGGAGTGCTCCTTGTGGCCTAAGGTGACAGATGCTCTAGTCACTTGATTGACTTGATGTGACAACACGTGAAGTCACTAGAGAAGTCTGACCCTGCAAAATACGTGACTTCAGCTTCTCTCTGCCCCAAGGTCAGTGCTACTAGCAATAGCATTTCCTGGTAAAACTCAATTGAACAAAATCCTGGAGTTGTTTCTCTTCAAAATAATTTTGATTTAATTTCTCCTTTTATATAAAAAGACAACAAGTTACATTTCAGAGAATGCTGTTTAGGTTAGGAGGCTCCCTTCAGCGCTGTTTTGCAATACATGTTTACATAATCTGAAGTGAAGTCGGCAGTCAACTGTGAAACTGGGGCCAGCCAGGCTGCCTGTGCACATTTCACTTTGGATCACAAACTAATGTAACATTCTATTGTTTAAGTGTCAACTAGGTCTGGGTTTTGTTTTGGACATTCAAATTGGGATAAGAAAACAGCCACCACCAGGTTCTAAAAAGCAGTAAGATCAGTGCTTTGTAAAGAGAACATGCAACATCAATATTTTCTTTTATCAATGAGCTCAAACATTTGACATTTTGTATCCTGGCATTTAAGTAAGTCAAGTCTTTGGAGAGAAAGTTTTATGGAATCTATTTGTATGGCCCAATATGTTATTACTTATTTCCCATATTAAGCAATTGTGCTTTGCTGTCCAAGGTTCATAGAAGTGAATAATGTGGTGTTAAAAATACAAAGAGAATCATAAATAATATCCAGAGGCAGTTAAATACTTCCCATAAAATTTCTTAGAAAAAAATATATTTATAATAATATATAATTGCCAAAATAAAAGCATTTATACTTTAAATGATCCCATATGACAGTGAAACTATCAAATATCTAAAAATTAGGACAGTTCTTAGGAGGAGCCTGTAAATGGGTCCTTGCTGCTTTACCCCACATTTCCTTTACCAGCCCTCACTGGGGACCCCAGCTGGAAGGAGTTTTGTTTTCTCTAATGGTCCCTTGTAATATAGTTAACTACATACATAGTTCATTACTAGATTAAGGTTCTTTTAGAATATGAACGAAATCTTACACATCTTTGACTCCTCCAAACCACTGATGTGGTAGTTTACTATTATTTATGGAAACAAATGCCAAAATGGAGATTGTAAAACATAAATGAGTATTTCCCTTTAATACAGTCCCTTTTTGTGGGTGAATTTATTCTTTACTGCAATACATTTTTTGGATGTGATGACAAAACTCATTCTGGACAATTATCCACAGGTATCAAATGTCAGAGGACATTTCTTTGTTCTTTTTGGCCTAGTATGAGCATACCATATTTTCATCCAGAAACTTTCTAGGGAACACTTCTCTAAACAAGCCATTTTAAATTTTATAATGTCCTCAGTTGTGTGTTAAATAAGCTAAATTCAAAGAAACTGAGGTTAACCACATCAGAGCAAAAAGTAAAATAAATTTAATTAGAAAATTCAAAAGGACAGTAGAGAAAGCCTGCAATTAATTATAATGTGATCCAAATGAATTCATATCTCATCATTCCAGTGTGTGAGCCAGGATATACACACTCACATGAAGAGCATCTGGCCAAGCTAAACAACAAGTCAAAGGTATCAGTTTCATGAAAAGAAACTTAAGAAGGCAAAATTACTCAGCATAAGCCTAATGTAGGATTTTGGAAGTTCTAAATTATCAAGCCAAATATCCACATTACTTTTTAATTTAGTAAATAATGCATTCATTGTCATATTCACTTTGATCATTACATGGACAAAAATATACCAAGTCATTTTTCCATGTGTTAAAACATTCAAGTATATTACTGAAAAGAGGCAATGAAAATTCTGTCTCTCGGGGTGCCTGGGTGGCTCATTTGTTAAGTGTCTGTCTTCAGCTCAGGTCATGGTCCCAGGGTCCTGGGATAGAGCCCTGCACCAGGCTCCCTTGCTCAGCGGGGAGCCTGCTTCTCCCTCTGCCTGCTTTTTCCTCTGCCTGCTTCTCCCTCTACTCATGCTCTCTCTCTCTCTGTCAAATAAATAAATAAAATATTAAAAAAAAAAAAGAAAGAAAATTCTGTCAAGTTTTCAAAGATGAGGGAGGAGACTAGGGATAAACAGGGATTAAACATGGGTCTCAAGGAGCTATGTAGCTTTTGATTCCTTTGTCTCTAACTGAACAAGACTGAAGTCACAAAGATGTAGTAGATCCCAAGCACAGAGACATTTCCTCCATGCATATACTCTATTCTAAGAGGTTAACATAGGGTTACAGATACTTAATGCAGAATCTTCTAATCAACCTGACTTCTACCAGCAGTTTCTGCTAACAAAAACTTTTGAGAATGGCTCCAATTACTGTTAAGATGAAGTAACATAATGCCTGAGATTGGCTTTAAAGTATTACAGTGGAAAAGGAAAAAAGGGTAGATGAAGCAAATACAGCATAAGTTTTATAATGATTAAATATAGGGGATAGGGATGTGGGAGGATTATCCTATTATTTTCTCTACTTTTGTGGTATGCTTTCAAATTTTCATGAGACTTTTGCAGTGAGAACTTGAAGAAATACCTATTATAAGAAATACTGTGATTTTTCCATACACCTGTCTATAGAATGGATAGAAAGCTTTCCTGAAAGAAATTGTGGCTGGTCTCAAATCTTGGGCTCTGTAGCAGGCTTAAAAAAAACCATTTCACCTGTCTTTCAAAAACCATTTTTGTCTTTCTCAAAAGAAGGAAGTAACAGAAACCTACACATTATCCTGGGATGTGGATTAACAAAATACACCTTTAATGTTAGCCTAAAGTTAGAGAAATCTAACTTTTGAAGCTGAACATGAAGGCTGTATTACATGGTAGATATGGATTTGAATTCTGGTTCAGATTTTAGTTTCAGTGAAAAAGAGGAGAGTTAATTTCAAGAATTCAGATTCCCTAATCCTTTTCTCAGATCCAAAGAGATTTTCTTATGGGGATTTAACTTCTACCATGCCAATTAAGAAGTAAGGCTGTGGCGGGGGCGGGGGGGGGGCTTCCCCTTCTTGGAAGTCTTACCTCAAAAATGATTAGTCCTTCCTTGTGGTAAAAAGATACTTCAACCCCTCACATATGCTGGGAAGGAAGCCTCACTCTTCTGGCCCCTTCTCCATTTTCTTTCTTCTCTGTAGGACTCATGTACCCAACATTCTCTTCCATGCTTCCTATATGGTTCCCAATTGATCCTGTCATGACATCTTATGCATTGCTCAGGGATTCAAAAAGTAAAAGAGCTCTTGGGCCTATAGGGACAATTATACTGGTTCCTATGCAAAATATGGCTGGGGGAGCTAGAATTTTGACCTAAGTTACTAGTACTAGATTAGAAAAAAGAAGTCAGACGCAAAAAACTCTCCCAGTTCATTTATTTTGTGTAAGGTTCATAACCAAAGAGCCTGTACCGACATTCTTTCTTTCTCTCCTTTATATAGAGATTAAGGATGCAGTTAAGAGTTCACTCTATTAACACTGATGCCATGGAGATTTCTTTTTACAAATGAGGTATTCGGTTTACTGACCCAAACAGTACATGTATGGATAAACTGCAGAAATTGTCTAGCAAGTAATAAAATGAAAGTGAATACATTGAAACATAAAACAGGAATAGCATCTGGCAATCGTTGCTGTGACACCCTGAGAATCTTTACTCTAGTCAAAATAAACCCACCCACCTTATATCTGTAAAAAGCAAAAACCAGCATGATTTTTCCTAAGGGCATACACGGCTGCTCAGAAAAGACAATGAGAATGAAGGGGTGGTGCATATGAAGAGAGACAAAGATCATTCTTGCCCCTTTATCCTCTCTAGTCAAAATTACTTATTCATGGACCACTGTTCCCTCCCCCCCGACTTTTTTTCAAATTATCTTAGGAAAAACACTTAGAATTACAGCAACAACAGCATTTACAAGTCAATTTATGTGGAACTGTTGTCAAAGTTCAAAATGCCATGAAAGATCTTGAGAAGACATTGAGTATTTCACATAAAAAACTGAACAATCAGGTTAGCCAGGCCCAAAATGATGATGAAAATGTGAAAGATTAACTTCGGCCATGTCAGACGGTCTTCTTGGTGGAGGGAAATCATATAGATGAGAGATGGATATATGAATACAAAGGCCAGGCCGCATGCTGCTCCTGAATACCTGCAAAATACAAAATGTGGGGGTTAATTATTCATCTTGCATTTTGCTTTTTCTGATTTACACTTAAGGTTAATACACTACAATTTAAAACCTCTTCAGTCTGCTATTGCAACAAAGTTATTGGTGATTCAACCGTTGTTGCATAAAGCGTTTGAGTTGAAAACATTTTACTTCCTAAGTTAATATAAAATATTTCCTGTTCGTCTTTATAGCATCTGCCTGACAGAGTTTTTGATTCATCTCTCCAATCTCCGTAGTTCTTCTGTGTCTCCATGTTTGTGGCTGCTTCTTCAGAAACATCTGGAGATAGGCTTCCTATCTTTGATCTTTTATAAACTAATTATGCATTCTGAGTTTCTGAAGGACTGCTAGCATCTGCTTAAGAATGAGAACAGATGAGTACCTCTGTGGTGTGCAGCATAATTATCAAAGATAGTAACAAAAATAACTCAACACAAGACTGACAGAGGAACCTGAACTTTCTTGTACCTTAATCTATCTCCAGCTTCACAGAAATCTGTAAGTCTGATTATATTCAGTAAGCATCAGGCTACTACTCTTTCCTTTTGTTTCTTGCTACATTTTAGGTAAGGGTCTTCAAAAAAGTGACTTAAGCCCTGCTTTCAAGAGGTCAAGGAAGAGAAATTAGATCACTGGAAACCCATATTCCTTGAGAATCTGAGTTCACAATTTTATTCCCCATCTGCTCAACCTATCACAATATTTTTAAAGAAAGTATATTAAGTAAAGAGCTACCTGGGATATAAACCCCTACCTAAACTCTTACTCTCCGACTGCAACTCACAGTGAAATTATGTTCTTAAGTAGAAATGGGTTAAAAAAGTTAGAATACAGTCACACTGAGATGATCCTTACTGAAAAGAAGCAGACTGTTCCTAAACCAGAAGTTGCACAGGAGAAAAAGATATCCCAGAAGAAACTGAAGAAACAAAAACTTATAGCCCAGGGCGCCTGGGTGGCTCAGTGGGTTGGGCCTCTGCCTTCGGCTTGGGTCGTGATCTCAGGGTCCTGGGATCGAGCCCCGCATCGGGCTCTCTGCTAAGCGGGGAGCCTGCTTCCTCCTCTCTCTCTGCCTGCCTCTCTGCCTACTTGTGATCTCTGTCTATCAAATAAATAAATAAAATCCTTTAAAAAAAAAAAACCAACTTATAGCCCATGAGTAAATTCTGCATAAAATAAATGCAAATAAAAGTAAAAACAGCACAGTGGTTATCTTTATTATTAAACATATTTCAGGTATCCTCAAAAAAAAGTTATAATGCAGTCTTAATAAATGAGAAACCTCCAGGTACTCAAGAAATTATATACTATATATTAAAAAATTTTTTATTTTGGATAAACAGAAGAAGGTACAAAGGAAAGTGATGAAAAAAAGAAAAAGAGAAAGGGAAAGATGTCTAAGGGATAATGGGGCTTCTAGAATCAAGAAGAAGCAGTGTGATGTAAGAAAATGAGCACCTTAACTGATACCAGGGAACTACATTTGAATGTTACCAGTTTTAAACACAAGAATTTCATACAATTAAATTAACAACACAATGACAGTATTGACAGGAAAACCATACAAATATAGAACAATACATGAAGGGGCACAGTTCCCTTATAGGGTGTACCTTATGATTCCTCCTATGTTTGGGTAGAAGCAGGCCATGATCACTCCAGCTCCCACAATAATTAGATTAAGAGTCAGCACATGAAAAATGCTAGAAGTTGAGGAGAAAATTCGGAGGAAAAATAAAAACAGGCAAATTATAATGATTAATATGAGAATAAAATTCATTAACATCTCTCAAAAGAGAATGTTCTTAAACTCGACAATAAAATCACAGCAAAAATAGAAGACAACAGTAATACTCAATGCTGGTGATGCCACGGTGAACCTGGACCTTTTGTGCAAATATATGAATAGGTTAAGATTCACAGATCAAACTGGTAGTATGTATCAGACTTCACGCTCTTTATTCTACAATTCCATTTGGAATACCTTAAGACAATAAACAAAAATAAGAAAAAAGCTATTAACAAAGATATTTGTGGCAAAACGGAAGTATCCTATATATACAGCAAGGTAACAACTTCCTTGATGGAATATATTAAAGATTACTCAAAATAACTTGTCATTGTTACCTAGATGGTAAAAATTCATCTGGGCAATGTGGAAAAAAGCTAGCTAGATTTTTACTACAAGAAAATCTGAAAACATTAGAAAAAATATCAGAAAGAAATACACTGAAAAGGCAGTAGTGATTATGTTATGATTTGGAATTTGGAGCAATTTTTCCTCTTTTCTGTATTGAATAAACTTTCTATATCTTATAATATTTTTTGTATTTATTTTTATAATTAGGAAAATAAATTATATTAAAGGAAAGGCAAAATGGGCAGGTTTTCATTTTTCAGATTCAGCCACTTAAAGATACTCAGTGTTTATCATGAATAGAAAAATAATGTAGATAAAATTTGATGCTCAAGAAACAACTCCATTTCCCAAAAAGATGATTCTTAAAAGCCAAATATATGCATCAAAGCAACTTTGTGAGCCCATGTTATCAGAGTATAATTAATCCCAGATAAAGATTACAGAGAGAATTAAAATGAGGAAAATTATTTACACAAATAAATAGTTAGTCATACATCCTGATGAATTACAAAGATATTCAGGCTTCCAGATCTTGCTATTTAGCCATAAACTCCAACCTTAAAAAATTGTTCCAGAGCTTTGAGACAATGGCTGGGCCTCTGTTATTTCTGTATTGTAAAAGGAAATAATTCTGCGTATTTTCCAAAGAAGTGGTTCTCATAGTGTAACCACGAACCCCAGGGAAGTTCCCATTACCCTTTCAGGAAGTCACTGAGATAAATATTAATTTCAAATCATAAAAGACATTTGCAAAAGCAATTGTGGGTAAAACTGCTGGCCCCTTAGCACAGGGAGAGGCAGTTGCACCAATGTGTATGTTATACTGTGTGCCTTACTGCCAAATGCTGCCAAAAAACAGACCTTCATAAAAAAGTAAAAATTATTAGTTTTATTAAATCTCATGCTTTGAACACACATCATTTTTACTATTTTGTGTGATCAGTTAGGAAGTACATAATACAGAGTATGTGCTACACAGTGAAGTACAATGGTTGTCTTGAGAAAAAGTGCTTGGGCAACTGAGCTGGAGAGCAACCTAGCCCTTTTTTCCAAGGAATGCTATTTTTACTTGAAAGGCAGACAAAAACTGTGGTTCTTCAGACTTGGGTGTTTGACAGACCTTTTTTTTTTTTTAATGAATGATTATGAGCTTGTCACTTCAAGGAAAACAACTAGTGGTATGTGAGGCCAATGATAAAATTCCAGCTTTTGAGTAAAAATTAGAATTTTGGACAGCTCGTATTTGCCACCCTAGCTTGACAGTCTTCCAGTACTTAAGGACTTTTTTAGAATGAAACTGGGGGCAATGTTATGAATGTGGGTTTTAATATTATATAATGAAGTGTGGAAGATCTGCAGAACTCCGTGAAATGGTATTTTCTAAATGATTAAACATGGTACAAAAACATGCATAGGTGAAAGGATTCAAAGTGTACAACAGACCAATGGGTTTTAATATTAGTGAGTTTCTGATTCAATTAACTTATTAGAAGCTACCAATTAATTGTTAAGGTTTGACATAGTATCAAAGAAGAATATCCACAATAATCTGAAAAGGCTATTAAAAGTACTCTTTTTTCTAACATGTCTATGTGAGAGTAGATTTTCTTCACATATTTAAAGGAAAACAACAGGGGCACCTGGGTTAAGGGTTAAGGCCTCTGCCTTCAGCTTGGGTCATGATCCCAGGGTCCTGGGATCGAGCCCCACATTGGGCTCTCTGCTCGGCGGGGAGCCTGCTTCCTCCTCTATCTCTGCCTGCCTCTCTGCCTACTTGTGATCTCGGTCTGACAAATAAATGAATAAATAAATCTTAAAAAAAAAAAAGGAAAACAACATATTGCAACAGATTGAATGCAGAAGATAAGGGAATCCAATTACCTACTAGCAAAGTAGGTCACTTAGCTGGCTTAGTTGGAAGGACACACAAATCTTGATCTCAGGGTCGTGAGTTTGAGCCTCACACGGAGTACAGAAATTACTTAAATAAATGTAACTTAAAAAAAAAAGTTTTGAAAATATGAAACAAAAATTTTTTTGGAGACAATTATTTTTTATAAGTATGTTATTTTTAAACAATTAATGGCTTTATTATTGCTTTTAAAATAATTCATATTTTAAAATTCTCAGTTTTGATTTTTCATATGTTAAATATTAATAGATATAACCCAGATAAGCTAAAGTGCAGGGGGTCCTCAATAAACTTTAAGAATGTAAAGCAGGTGCCAAGCCCAAAAAAAGTATGCTCCAAAATATGTATACAAGTAGAAGACTTGTAACTGTAGGATAAATGATAGTGTGTTGTTGGTGATAGAGAAAGAAATGTAATGTGAACATGAAAGGGAACTTCCAGATTATTTCCAAGAGGAAAAAGCATCCTAACAGCCACCACTATGCAAAATAATGGCAGAAAAGAGGAATAATGCATTTACCTAGTATTTTTTTAATCTATGACTTCACTGTGTTTATTTTACTTTGGTGAATATAAATACAACACATGGCATAATATACACAACAGGAACCTTGTATGTACTAAAATCCAAGCTTCCAGATGAGCAATGTTACAACTGTAACTGTTGCTACTGTCAATGCTAGAGAGGTGGTAGCTCTTGACTTTGCTTTTATAACTTTTTTGTTTTTAAACCAACACATTTATACTAATTATTTACTTAATGAGGGAACAGAGTGCATCAATTCTCTTCAAAGAAGAACTGATGAAGATGTCTTATTTAATTGGTTACCATAAATGTACTTTAAAAAGTTTTTATCTGAAAGCTTTCTTCATTTAAGACCATTTATTTCAGGGTGCCTGGGTGGATCAGTGGGTTAAGCCTCTGTCTTCTGCTCGGGTCATGGTCTCGGGGTTCTGGGATTGAGTCCCTCGTCGGGCTCTCTGTTCAGCAGGGTGCCTACTTCCCCTCTCTCTCTGCCTGTCTCTGCCTACTTGTGATCTCTCTCTCTCTGACAAATAAACAAATAAATAAAATCTTAAAAAAAAATCATTTATTTCAAGTAAAATAGGTTAGGACTGGGTATTTTTTACTAGGGTGAATCTCTATTAAAACTTCATGTTAGAGCAGGAATTAACCAGGAATCCAAAATGAAGTTCCACGGAAACCCTGAAGCAGTATATGGAAATTTCTCCTGGATGAGAGTGAGCAGCTTTGAACAGATTTTCAAAAGGACTCAAAACTGGTCCATCACCAGTAAGAGATTAAAAATTACAGCAGTAATTACTGAAGCAAATAGGAATTTAACCTTGTTGTATATGTTACCTTCAATTCTAAACAACTATGATTTAGGTAAAAATGCAAGAATGTTAATAAATATACAAGAACATATCAATAACCAATAATTAAAAGCGTTGCTTCTCATTAGCCATACATTGCTAATATAGGTACTAGGTACTATTAACTTCTTGGCAATGTGTAGATTAATGGCAAATAAATCATAAGATAAATATAGTTGGTATCAGAGCTGACATAACTATGCTAGAAGGAACAAACTTGAAATCATTCTGGACAAGGAAGTGGCTTCTAATTTTATAGCTCTTCAGGGAAAAGAACACCTGTGATCTATCCTTAGTAACCATTTTGATTGGGCAAATTTTTATAGCAAAATGATCAGTCACATTTTAAACTGACCTGTTTGCACAGTCATTTGTTGCTTGGCACATCTTGCTGGTCAAGAGAAGAGCCCTTACCTAGGATAAACGTCACCGAAGACATGGCCCAATAGTTGAACACGAGCCAAATAGCCTAGGAGTGGGTATACAGTCATCATCTGGAACAGCAGGAATATCCTTGCAATGAAGGACAGGATGTCACTGCTAGGGAAGTTGTCTAAAAAATTCTAATCCAAGAAAGATAATGAAGTAATGTTAAAAATCAAGTTAGTACATACAAATTTATAAAACTGAGTGTCTTTTGCTTATTTAGAACACAGGTGCCACTCAAGTTTTGGTTTGTGGACCAGTGCTCATCCACAAACTATGTGAACTATTATTTTTCAGTAAACTAAGTACAAAAATTGAAATGTTTAGAAATTTTTATAGAAATTTGACATTGCCACATTATTTTATTTTACAAAACTATCAGTCTGCAATTGATCTGACATTAAAACAAAGAAAACCTTGCCCTTCACAAAGCCACAGAAGCAATGTTCTTAAGCTACAAGCATAAATCTGTTTTAGTAGATTTAAATGGCTATTTATTAATATTAATTATGAATTATATATTAATTCATATAATTATGAATTACATATTAATTATGAATTAATATTAATTCAATGCTATTTGATCCTCACTAGTTCTCTTGCTTTTCCTTCCCTGAAACATCATAGCACTTCCAAAGTAAAGTTTATAGAATGTGAGAGTATACATATCACCTAGTATCATTATTATCTATAGCCTATAACTAAAAAGAAAGGATTTATTTCTATTTCCTTTCATGATTTTCTCCATTTTAGTTTGGCATCTAAAAAGAAAGTTCATTACTCAGAACATTTTGTTTCCTTTCACATATGAATACCATAGATATCCCTATTCCCAAGAGAGTGGGCTTTATACGGGATTGTTCATATCAGGGGAATTTTCAGCGAACATTTGGCTGCCAAAGAACTTCTGGAATCATGGAAATCAAGAGAAGAACATTTCAAGCTATCATAAGAGTAATAATTCAAACATTTCTCTTATAAAGATGAGAACATTATTAACACTACTATGTGGAAATAACTCTTAATTCATCCATAATAAATCACACTGTATATTCCATTATACTCTTATTAGAGGAATTTCTTCTGGCTAGAAAGAAATTCATCTGTAAAATGCTATTTTTGTGAGAAATTTGTCAGTCAGATTAAATTAGAAACTACACTGTTCCTAAGTTTATAATGGGTCAAATCAAAGAAAGTATTACTTATGGCAACTTTTTTGGTAAAATCTTTTCTTCTAGTCTTTCCATCTCTTCCTCTCTTTTTAACAGCAAACCTTTGTTTTACCCACCATGCTGTACAAAAATGAGTGTCAGATCTATCATTGGGGACTGATAAGCGAAGACACCAGATTACCCAGGACATTTCCAGATCTGGGCTTTGGAAAATAAGGAGGTTGCATGTATTCCCAGCAGAGGTTTTATAAATCATGAATAGCACCAGTAACTGTTTTCCAAACAAAGAGAAATACTATGTACATCATAATAGTAATTACCTATTCTGAGTACCACAAGGGTCCAGCATGCAGTATACCTTCTTAAGAATCTCTTTAAAAAATCTATGGTGTGTGTATTATACTACTTAGTGGAATAGGAAACTGAAGTTTAGAAAGGATGGGGAAGGTGCCTAAAATCTCATATGCAGATTAAACGGTAGAGAAGGTATTCAAACCCTGGTCTGTCTGGTATTGTAACTTGCTACTGTATCACCCCGCCTGCTCTGCAGATAGGAAAGTATAAAAATCACAAAGAGGGTACACCTAGTGCCTTACCTGCTCTATGCAATCCTTGGTTAATGGCGGTGAAGGAAATGAAGCAAAAACCAGGACTCCAATATAGAGGTAAGTTAATGTCACCAGCATATAAGCAATGGACAAGTCCCTCACCTGTAAAAAGAGAACAAAATTCCCGTAACACGGAATAAACCTGGAGTTAAGTCTGCCTGAATAGACTAAAAAAGAAAACTGACCAAAATTCAAGATTTATCTTTTGGCTGTGTGTGCTTTTATGTATATGCCTTCTAGGTATCCAATCTGTTCACAGAAATTAGATAAAACAAAATCCACATACTTCACAATTAGTCTGAAAAAAAATTTTTTTTGTACTGTTTTGGAGCATGTAGATTAAACTACCCTACCTGTTGACAGATTTTAGTAAATTAACATAAATGGTGGCTTAACCAAAAATTATGACTAATTTCTAAGGTGATTTATTTTTTATTTTAAAATAAAGATTTTATTTATTTATTTGACAGAGATCACAAGTAGGCAGAGAGGCAGGCAGAGAAAGAGGGGGAAGCAGGCTCCCTGCCGAGCAAAGAGCCCGACCTGGGGCTTGATCCCAGGACCCTAAGACCATGACCCGAGGTGAAGGCAGAGGCCTTAACCCACTGTGCTACCCAGGCGCCCCTCTAAGGTAATTTATTTACCACATTACAAAACATTCGATTACAAATAATAAAGCTGAGGGACAAAAAAGCAAAAACAAGCCACCTTCAGTATGACCTACACAATTAAAAAAGTTTTTTTGGTAGTAAATTGACTTTGTTAAACCATCAAAGCATGCCTGGGCTGAAAGAAACTGGTACAGTATTAAAACATATTTAATAAAGAAGAAAAGCTAGTTAAAGGGCAGATAGTAAGCAGGTATCACAAACAAGCTTAACAAACCGAAACAGTAAACAAAAGGAAATCAAAAGGCAACTGTTCCAACAGCTGTACAATGTTATTCTTAGAATCAGTAAACAAATGCGCACATTAAATAAAGTGGGTTGCTTTCTTCCACTGTTGTTCCCACCCTCCTGACCTTCTACCCCCATGCGAAGGAAAAAGCTCCAAGATATTTAACGCAGCCAGCGGTCAGATCCAAACAGAACATATCCCACGGCTCACAAATCTGGTCTCCATCATTGCTAAAGTTACAGCCAAACAATTCAGTACAACTAAATTATGGCAATAAGCCTATTCATTTTTCATTTTAAACACAAATTATTTTGAAAGTTAAGAAAACAGATAAGAAAAAATTATATACAATTTTACTTTAGTTTGATAACACAATTAGGAAAGTGGACATTTGGCATTAGGGAGCATTTGTGATTTTTTGGATAACTCTTCTTAAATTGGCTGAGCAAGAATAGAAAGTTATAAACTTGAATGTTGATAAATTCACTTAAAATGCAAGTAACAAGCTATGAGAGATCCTAAGGTTAGGTTTAAATAGACAATCAGCTTGAAAACAAACCAGGGATTCCAGACCCTGAATTAGAAGCTGGACATACCTATGAAGAAGCCACAGGAAAATGGGATTATGCAGGTTGGTTCTAGCATTCTCAGAGAGCTTCTAATTGTTCAGGGTTGAGGAAGGAAGCTTCAGGGGCTTTCCAAGTCTTTACTCTTTTTTTTTTTTTTTTTTAAGATTTTATTTACTAATTCGACAGGGAGTGGAGACAGAGAAGCAGGCTCCCCGCTGAGCAGGAAGCCTGATGTGGGGCTAGATCCCAGTACCCTGGGATCTTAGCCTGATCTGAAAACAGCCACTTAACCAGCTGAGCCACCCATGTGCCCCAAGTCTTTCCTCTTTAGTTCATGAAGCCGAGGGCCCATTTCAGGCTAGACTTTAGTCACTCCTAAGGTTGTCTCACAATCTTGTAGAGAATGAACAGAAATGAACAAGGCAACTCTACTTTTCATATCAAAGGGTAACAGTCTCTCATTATGATGTTTAAAAGTCATCCTACTTTCAACCTACTCAATGTAACTCAAGAACAGGTAGTCTCATAAGATGCAAAATCTTGGGAGTCCAAAACAGCTGTGTCAGAGACAGCTATATATAAAGTGGGACAGCTACCATTTCACGGACAGTCTTTAGCCTCTCTAGCACCTGATCACCCATTATTCTGTTCAGGCTTTCCTCAAAGACGTTTATCTTAGTAGCCTTTGGGGGAAAGTTTGATGAAGATGATAAGGCTAAGGTGCAAGGGCTTCCTGATAGTAAGTCAGTTTTCCCTTCTGCTTTCCTGTTCTTATAGCACTGTACACATACCTGAAATACAACATCTACTAGAGTGTACTGTGGCTATTGTTAGTTTTTATTATTAATCTATGTTCATGAATGAAAGCTCACAAGCGGAAAAAAAACTATCCCTCAACACCCAGAAAGTAGCCAAGGTTAATAGTTTTTGTATCATGTTGGTACTTTAATTTTTCTATTTCTAAGCTCATTCATACCACTAGACTATGAGATCCTTGAGAGCAAGGGCTGTGTCTTTTTCATCTTTGTATCCTCAATACCAAGAACAATACTTTGGACAGAGGTGGAAACTGGTAAATAAATGCATAGAAAAAATAATAACCATGCTGGTTATAGTTAGTAGCTGGTTATTAAATTGGCTAGGTGCTAGGCTATGCACTAAGCACTTTACATGTATAATCTCATTAAATGCAGGTGCATCCATTTTCTTCATTTTATAAGTGAATAAACTAGTACAGCAAGGTTATAACATTTGTTCATGGTTATAAGTAGCTGGTGAAGTCAATGTTCAAAATAAAGATGTTATGGCTCCAAATTGCATGCCCTTTAGCTATTACAGTGGAGGAATGATCAGTCTCGAATGCATCTGTGTCACAGTTAATAAACAATAATAAAGAAAACAAAGATGGGGCACCTGGGTGGCTCAGTCAAGTGTCTGCCTTCAACTCAGGTCATGATCTCAGGTTCCTGGGATGGAGTCTCACATTGGGCTCCCTGTTCAGCAGAGAGCCTGCCTCTCCCTCTCCAACTCCCCCTGCTTGTGTGTACATGCTCTCTTTTCAAATTAATAAATAAAATCTTAAAAAAGAAAACAAAGATAAAGAGGTAACAAGTTACAAGTAACAGAGGATACAGCAGAGTGCACACACAGATGCAAGAGAAATACTAAAATCAGAAAAGTTCTGTTTTGTAGTAGTCTAAATGTACATTCAATGCAACTAGGTCAAGTGTTGCATATCTGTTTTCATCTGAAACTACTCTAATGAACAGAAAAGATGTTTTAATATGAAAGCAGCTGAGGTTTAGCATGTTCCTGGGAAACGTGCCACCTACGAATACCATGAACACATGTGGGTTTTGCTATTCTCTGGCTTGAGCACAAGCTATCACTGTACTAGGCCTGGAGATTTAGCCTCTTAATAGTCCACTTAATGAAAAGGGAGAAAAAAAGCCATCTTTTAGACGAGTCTCAAAGTAAAAATATACTTAAAAAGAGGCACAAGTGACAATACGAATCCTATATATTAGGTTAGGTGATCTACTCTGCCTTATGAATAAGCAACCGCTGGCAGGGTGATGGGAAAAATGCCACCTCAGAATGACTAGCTTTACCAGGGGGCACAAGTGGTGCTGGAAGCACATTCTGCTTCTCGAATATGGTTTATAATTTGTTCCACATACCGTTCATAGTGAAAATACTATGCAGTAGAGCATTTACTAACAAAAATGACAGAAACTGACCACATAGAACTACCCTAGACATTTACATAAAACTTCTAATGATGTAAACTACACAGATTCATATGAAGAAGCAAAAAGTAAATAACAAATTGAGATATAAGGCACTGCAAATTGTTTTTAAAGAACTAGCACGGTGTGAAACTAGATAAAGACAGGCAAAACAAAACCAAAAAAGCACTGTATGGGTTCTAATTCAAACATGATGAGGAAATACCAAGAGGTTAGTCCACATATCCAGGATCATTTCCTAGATGGTTATAGAGACTAACTATATATAGAGACTATATATCTGATGATAAAGAATGAGTTGGATGATCTTCAACTCTACATTTTTTTTTTTCTTTTGGTAAGGTATTCCTTACTAAGGAATAGAAGTTACATCCCATTTTGTGACACATGAAAAAAACTGTTTAGTGAAAAAAAAAAAAAAACCACCATGAAATTAAGCTGAACTTAACAAAGCTGAAAAATCTGATCATTATACCTGTTTAGAAGCCACATTATTTTCCTCCTTCACAAATGTCTTTAGATCCAAGTCCTACTGTCGTTTATATAGAAGCAAATGAGGCCTTTTTATTCTTTTGTCTTCTGCACTTATAAGCCTTTGTTTACTGGCTCTGAATGACTAACACAACATTAACAATTCAGAGTCCCTGACAAGCTTCACATTTTTAAAAAAAATTTGTACTTATATATTTGTCAGAGAGAGAGATAGAGAGCTAGTGGCAGGCAGGAGAAGCACCCTCCCAGGTGAGCAAGGAATCCAACATGGAACTAGATCCCAGGAACTGCAGATCATGATCTGAGCTGAAGGCAGACGTTTAACCAACTGAGCCACCCAAGAATTCCAGCTTCATATTTTCTGACTTAAATCTCAAGAAAATATATATTAACAGAACTTCTATGAGTAAAATTATTTACTGAAACCTGCTGAAAGTATAATCATTAAATAAACCAAATGACAATTTTTTTTCTCAGAATATTTTTTTCTCAGAATTTTTTTCTCAGCTACCCATTTAGCTTAATTTATGCAAATATCTAGTCAATTTCAGTGCAATCATAAAGAGTATATATTTACGTATATTTAAAGTGTTTAGAATTTTGTTGGCACAAAGTGTTAGCTTTACATGACAGAATGTTAGCTTTATCATTAGTAGTTACTAATATTTTAAGAGGTTAACATAATTTTTTTTTAAAGATTTTATATATTTATTTGACAGACAGAGATCACAAGGAGGCAGAGAGGCAGGCACGGGGGTGGGGAGGAGACGGAGGGGAGGGAAGAAGCAGGCTCCCTGCCGAGCAGAGAGCCCAACGGCGGGGTTCCATCCCAGATCCCAGGACCCTGGGACCATGACCCAAGCCGATGGCAGAGGCTTTAACCCACTGAGCCACCCAAGTGCCCCAAAGTCTGATTTTTTTGAAAGCTAGACTATACCTTATACCCTAGTTTCAATTAAGACAGTAAGAAACCATCATCCATTTAAACTTTAAAGCTTCTTTTCAAAAAATATTTCCCACAAAAGACAAAAGTTGAGTCAAATTTTATCAGCTGAACCTAACATACTAGTTCTACAAAGTGCTAGTCCCAAAAAGGAGCAGAAACAGGAACCCATTTTATGCTATTTCCATATAAAAAACAGATTTCAAGGCCCATTGAGTGTTCTAGTAAGAAAGGCAGAGAATCTTCCTGCAATCCTTGGGAGACCATGAACTGAAATGTCTCTATTTCCATGCAGTCCTGAGCCTCTCCCATGGAGGAATGCATATCTCCAGATACACTGGTGTAATTTTCCAGGAAAGTGATTCTACTTTGCAGTTTTAGGAAGCACAAATAGAGGCTGTCCTCTTTTTTAATAGCAGTATGACACTAAAACTGCCTGGACACCTCTTTGAGGAAGATGTGGGGGCAGAAGTAGCACACCTGCTCCTGCCTCACTGCTATTCGCTCTCACCCAGGAACAAGCTGGTCAGAAAGCTGCGCACTGCAGCCATGGCTTACAGATATCAGAAAGACTCCCGTAAAACCTGATGTAGGGATCCACTGAATGTACATATGCCCTGGAGAATCTGTCCTGACTTGATCGGATGCAAAAAGGAAAAGAATATCAAAGTAAAAGAAAGAGTTTGGATGCCCACCAAGACTCTGAGAATCACTATGAGAAAACTCCTTGGGCTGAAGCTACTAAGATTCCTAAGATTTTCCAAAGTCAGTTCTAGACAAGGATCCACAAGCCACTCATTAATTTGTACCGTCCTTCAGAGGTTATTAAACAGATTACTTCCATCAGTATTAAACGGTTGAAGTCACTACTATAGATACTTACACCAACTATTTCAATAAATTATCAGTTGTTTTAAAAAATGTGTGATGCGATAATAATAATCCATGAAAAAGAATCTATTGTTCCATGACTTAATTTTTGTCGAAACATTAAAAACCTTCACTGTATAGGAAATGAAAAAAAAAAAAAAAAAGCAAAAGTACTATTTATTTAATATATTATTTTATTTTTTTAAAAGATTTTTTATTTATCCATTTGAAAGATCAAGCAAGAGCATGAGCTAGGGGAAGGGTGAGAGGGAGAAATAGATGCCCCTGCTGAGCAGGGAGCCGATGTGGGACTCAGTCTCAGGACCCTGGGATCATGACTTGAGCCGAAGGCAGACACTTAACTGACTGAGCCATCCAGGAGCCCTAATATACTATTTTAAAACATTAAAAACATCAAGAATTAAACTGGTTGTTTTTTTTTAATATTTGTAAAAATTTACCAAGAGCACTTTGAATTGTTTCCTCCTTCTCATGGTATAATTACAATACAGAGCAAGCTTCTTTTCCATGCTTTAGTGAACTGTCATATTCCTTTCTTCTAAGTTTGTATCAGCTTCCATCACTTCATCCATTCTGCCTTCAAAGTTGTGAAGTCTCTCTGAGAATTCTTTCAATGTGAAGTTTTCTGACAGTGTTACTTCCTCGGGGACAACTTCATTCTTCTTATCACAACCACTTTCCTCATTCATGTTGGCTAAGTTTACCTTCCCCAGGTCCCCAGGTTCCTCTGGCTGCACACTGAATGTCTCTTGAACGTCTACATTTCCACAAGTGGGTTTCTTTTATGATTCCATTCATGTTTCATTCAAATTTCATTTCCAGCATTTTTACTTTTTATTTCATTATTACACTTTCACCCTTGTCAATTTTCTCTCTTGATTTTCCATTTTTGTAAAATATTATGTGGATTTACCATGGGTAAGAAGGAGATGACTCAACTATCTGCTTGGCAGTCTCTGTGTAAAGTGAATGACAGACGTGTAGTGACCAATCAATAACAGACTTTGAAAGAAGTGATGTGATTGGTAACAGACCATGATATAGGTCTGTTATTTATGTGGTGATTTGTGAATTGAAGGGCTGGTAGCTATTACTTCATGTAAGTACTCAAATTTCAAATCCTGTGGTAATTGGAATTTGAGCCACAGTGTTCAGGGGACTGAGGTAATTTAATTAAACCACAGTAACTGAAAGTCATGCATGTAGGAACTGTGTAAAGTGAGGTCTGCCTGTTATTTAAGATTTTTCTACTAAGACAAACTAATTTAGAGTGCAGTAAAAATGTGCATGCATGTTTAAGGTGAAATATGAGACTTCAATGAAACTGTGCTCTTCACCTGCAGATTTCCAGATATACGAGGCATTCTCTGTCATTAGGAGACTTTAGGGGTAAAGTCTGAGAAGCAGAGCCTTATGGATAGAATGGTCCAATACATTACTTGGTATAAGTTGGCCTAAGAAAAGAATTGATTAGTGTGGATAGGATACTTAGATGATACCAAGGAATACATTAATGAGATTTACATTATTTCCTGTGAAGATGAAAGAGGTATTTTCCACATAGCTTTCTAAACTTCCTAAAACTTGGAGTAGGTAGCTTTGTTCAAGTGACAATGAGGGAATTTGCAAAGGAGGAGGAAGAGATTTAAAAAGTACAGAGTTTTAAAAGTATATGCTCATTTTTCCCTTACGTTGCCAAGTTCCAAATGCTTAGTTAGGATAAACAAGACTTTCTTCCTATTCCCTCAGAAGATTTTAAAACTGTTTTTGACAAAAGTTTAAGTATAATAAAACTAAATATTTCCAAGATAAAAACTAAATATAGGGGCACCTGAATGGCTCAGTCTGTTAAGCGTCTGGCTTCAGCTCAGGTCATGATCTCAAGGTCCTGGGATCTAGCCTCCTGTCTTGTCCTAGGGCTCCCTGCTCAGTGGGAGCCTGCTTCTCCACCAAGCATTTCTGACTGCTTCTCTGTCTGCCTCTGTCCCTGACCCTGCTCTTGTTCTCTCAAATAATCTATAAAAAAAAAAATTGAAAAATTAAATTAAAATCTAGTACACTTATGAGGAAAAAGGTAAGGAAGAATTGACATGGTTAATTATATATTTTTCTGGGGATCTACTTTAGCATTATAGGAAGAAATCTTAGAGAAGAATTGGTAACATTCTTATTGCAAAACAAGTTTTAAGGCACTGGAAAGAATCTGAAGGGGAAAATATTTTCTCCTGTTAGGTGAGAGATCCACAGTCTAAAGGTAAGGCAAGAAGGTAAGAGGGATATAGAAACAAAAAATTTCTAGCTGTTACTATACACCACAGCATGTTAAATATTTTTCTTATTTTATAATGTTTAATTGTGATTAAAACCCTGAGAGATAGGTATAAAATAATGCTATGAAAAGGTCACTAGGTTTGGAAAACCCAGATTAACTGAATTCTAACCCCATTCACAGGTAATATGCCAGATGTGTTAGCATGTAAGAGTAAACATGAAAATGTTAGAATTTGATTTATATTCTTGGCCTAATTTGAGAGCTAACTTCCTTCTCCTTAGAAGGATTTTTGTCTTCATAACGACTCTACCAAACATTACTTGAAGTCTTCTCAGAACCCCCAGGCTCAGTGAACCCTTCTTCCTTTGTATTTCAGTAGCAATTGTATATAGCTCTATTAGAGCTTCACCATGATTTTCATTTACATGGTTAGAAGCCATCAAACTGATTTCAAAATCTGCAGACAAGGCCACAAGTAACTCGTTAACTTCTGACTGCTTTAGGTTTCAGTTCACTCTTCTTTCTCTAGTGTCGTAAGGGAGAAGGTTAGGATATTGATTTGAGATCTTTCTTCTTTTTTAGTGTAGTTATTTATAGCTATAAAATCTCCCTTCAAGCAGTGCTTTTGCTGCATCCCGTAAATTTTGCTATGGTGTGTCTTCATTTTTAGTTATCTCAAAGTATTTTCCAATTTTTCTTGTGATTTCTTCTTTGACATATTGGTTATGTACAAGGCTGCTAATTAAATAAGGTCCATGTATTTTTCAATTTTCCCAATTTCTTTGTTAGTGATTTTTAAATTCACTTCACTGTGGTCAAAGAACATACTTGGCATGATTTCAATCCTTTTAAATTTATTGAGATTTTTTCAATTTCCTAGCATATGATTATCTCTGTATATGTTCCGAGATAGTGCATTTGAAGAATGTACATTCTTTAAAAAAAAACAAAAAAACCATTTTGTTCAAGGGTCAACTGTAGTCAGGTTTTTTTTTTAATCAGTCTGATATCTTTTAATTAGCATTTAGACCACTTATACTTAAAGTTATTATCAACATAACTGGGTTTAAATCTATTATCTTGCTATTTGTTTTCAGTTTTCCCATCTATTCTTTGTTTCTTTTCTTCTTCTTCTTCTTTTTTCAATCTTTTAGATAACCTGGATATTTTAAAAAGATTGTATGACCACTGTTGGCTATTAGCAATGCCTCTTCATTTTTTTAGTGATTATTCTACAGCAGGGATTGACAAGCTACAGTCTATGATGAAATCTGGCCCATTGTCTTTTTGTAAATAAAGTTTTCTTGAAACATAGCCACGGTCCAGTTGTTCAAATATGATATATAGTGACTTAGGACACAGAGGCAGAGTTAGGCAGTTACAACAAAGACCATAAGGCCCACAGGCCTAAAATATTTACTATCTAAATCTATACAGAAAAAGTTTGCTGACTACTGTTCCATGGTTTAAATTTAAGAATTAAGATCCAATAACAAAATTCAATTCCTCTGACAAATACTCACATTGTTTTCTTGATTCTTGTTGTTCTTCAAGAGTGTAATAATACAATTATGAATAAAGAAAGCAAGGGTAAGCACTCCAGTCAGCTGTGGAAACTGAAATCTTATCTCTAGGAGAAAAAGAGAGTGAAAAAAAACACAGAACATTAAACTGACAGCTAGAAAACGAATGTTAGTAGCCAAAAGTTGACTGCCAAAAATTAGTTGTTTCTGCTTTATCCAGGGAATAAGAATATTAAGATGTCTTCACAAAGTTCCTCAAGGCTAGCATTATACTTGAGCAAAACACTTGAAAAGGGAAAGAAAAGCAATCAAGAAATGACCACTCTGTGAGGGTACTTCACATCGGTTATTGATGTTTGAGGTCACACAACTAGTGTGTGGCAGGCACAGCAGGATTAAACTTAGAACTCTAAAGGTCTCCCTCTTCTAATACTTGCTTTGCCACAAAAACACCTTTAGAAAAGGAATCAGAAAAGGGAGAATTGGTCATTTAACATTTTTCAAAGGCTAATCTAAGAGGCACTGCTTATTGGGCTCTCTGCTCACCAGGAAGCCTGCTTCTCCCTCTCCCATTCCCTCTGCTTGTATTCCCTCTCTGGTTGCCTCTCTCTCTGTCAAATAAATAAGTAAGATCTTAAAAAAAAAAAAAAAAGCACTGCTTAAAAATACTCAAAATAACAAACGTCTACACAGAGGGGAATGGTTAAACTATGATACAGTTACTCTGTGGTGTACAGTACATTAAGAATTACGTTCTCGAGAAAGATTTTATGCTATGGCAAATGTTTATGACTCAAATAGCATGTAGAGTATGATTTTTACATTTATTTTAAAAAGTTTGGGGGTATATATACGTATGTATGCTAAGAAAAAAGACTGGAGGGATAACCATAAAAGTTTAAATAGTGGTTATCTGGCTAGTAGGATTTATTTTAAGTTAATTACTTATCTATATTCTCTAAATTTTCTAGAATAAATTCAAAGTTAATATGAAATAAGAATAAAATAATAAATATTTCAAAAGCACTGCCAATTTCTGTCTTTGAGGTTTGCTAACACAAAAATGAAAAACTGCTTTTATGTAGAATAAACCAAGAGTTAAATGAAAACAGTGCTATATCTAGGTGAAGTAGGTGGCAAAGGTGAAGAACAACCTGTCTCAGGGGATTCCTTAGTATAAAAAATACAAACAAGAAAACAAAGTCCACTGACTTTTTGCCATAGATTTAGGAAAGGAAATAAGAATAACTAAGAATCAAGCACTGGCTCTGAAAGAAATCAGGATGCAAGAATTTTAAAATCAATACTATAGTTTTCCATTAAGTTTTTGTTGTTCTGTTAGCTTTTATCTAAATTTTTATTTGTAAAAGCAATTCAGAGTATTTTTCTGGGGTGCCTGGGTGGCTCAGTCAGTTAAATGTCTGACTCTTGGTTTCGGCTCAGCTCATGATCTCAGGGTTGTGGGACTTAGCCCTGGGGTGGGCTCTGCCCTAGGCATGGGGCCTGCTTAAGATTCCATCTGTATCCCTCTCCCACTGCACCCACCTCCCTACCTGTGCACACACACTGTTTCTAAATAAATAAATAAATAAATAAATTTTTCTCAGGCAAATTCTCCCCTTTTCTGTCTATAATTTTTAACTTTTTAACATCTGAGCAGTAAAATAAAATGTGGGGGCAAATCCCACTTCTGTTTAAAAAAAATTATTTCATTTTTTAAAAGATTTTATTTATTTATTTGACAGAGAGAGATAGTGAGAGAGAGAACACAAGCACAGGGGAGCTCAAGAGGTAGAAGTAGGATTCCTGCTGAGTAGGAAGCCCAACGTGGGGCTCGATCCCAGGACACTGGGATCATGATCTGGGCTGAAGGCAGATGCTTAACCGACCGGTGGGAGAAATAGACAGCAATATAATAATAGTAGAAGGCTTCAATATACCACTTTTAACAATTATAGATCACTCAGACAGAAGTACACCAGATGTACATGATAGACATTTACAGAACATTCCATCCAATAACAATACATTCTTCTCAAGTGCACATGGAACATCTCCAGGATACATCATGTTAGCCCACAAAATATGTCTCAACAAATTTAAGAGAACTGAAATCATACCAAGCATCTTTTCCAACCACAATGGTATGAAACTAGAAATCAATTACAAAAAAACCCCAAAAAACAAAAACCAAAAAACTGGAAAAATTCACAAATATGTGGAGATTAAGTAAGATGTTACTGAACAACCAATGAGCCAAAGATGGCTATCAAAAGATATCTCAGTTATCAAAAGATAACTCAGGATGTTGAGATAAATGAAAATGGAAATACAACTTACCAAAACTTAAAGGATGAAGCAAAAATAGTTCTAAGAGGTCATTTTATGGTGATAAACATTCACATTAACAAACAAGAAAGATCTCAAATAAACAACCTAACTAAATGCCTGGGTGACTCAGGTGGTTGAGCATCCGACTCTCAATTTTGGTTCAGGTCATGATTTCATGGTTCTGGTACTGAGCCCCAGGTCAGGCTCTGCATTCAGTGAGTCTGCTTGAGGATTCTCCCTCTTCCTCTGTCCCTTCCCCAGCTTGAGCACATGCTCGCTCACTTGCTCTCTCTAAAATACATAAATAAATCTTAAAAAAAAAACCAAACAACATTATACCTCAAGTAATAATGAGAAAAATAAAGAACAAATTAACCTAAAGTAGAAGAAAGGAAACAACAAAGATGAGAGCAGAAATAGAGACTAAAAAGATAATAGAAAAGATTAATAAAACTAAGCTGGCTTTTTGAAAAGATAAACAAAATAGATAAATCAGTAGCTAAATAAGAAAAAAGAGAGGACTCAAATAAAAAAATTATAAATGAAAGAGGAGACATCACAACTGATACCATTATAAGAGATTACTGTAAGCACTTATACACCAATAAAATGGACAACCTAGAAGAAATAGATACATTGCTAGAAACATACAAACTACCAAGACTGAATAATAAATGGAAAATATGAACAGACCAATTTCTAGTAAAGAGATTGAATCAGTAATAAAAATCTCCCAATAAAGAAAAGTCCAGGCAGTACTAGATTTTTCACTGGTGATTTCTAGCAAACATTTGAAGATGAATTAATAATAATCCTTTTAAAACTCTTCCAAAAAATAAAAGAGGAGGGAACACTTCCAAACTCACTTTATGAGGCCAATATTATCTTGATCTTGGTATTAAATTCAGACAAGGACACTACAAAAAAAGAAATGTATAGGCCAATATCCCTAATGAGCATAAACGCAAAAATCCTCAACAAAACATTAGCAAACTTAATTCTATACCATGATTAAGTAGGATTTATTTTAGGGATGCAAGGATAGTCCAACATCCACAAATCAATCAACGTGATACACCACATTAATAAAACAAGGGATAAAAATCATATGATCAGCTCAATGGATATAGAAAAAGCATTTCACAAACTTCAACATCCATTTATGATAAAAACTCTCAACAAACTGGGTATGGAGGGAATGTATATCAACACAATAAACATCATACTCAACAGTGAAAAGCTGAAAGCTTTTCCTCCAAGATCCGGAATGAGACAGGATGCCCACTCACCAGTGTTGTTTCTAACTTGTCAAATTAGAATGAGTAAATATCCAGCTTTTTCCAATTAACCAATAAAAACTCTTTTTGAGTAACTTTCTTAAAAACCCGAGATTCTTTTCAACAGTTTCAGTGAGATATAATTCATATGCACTTCATCCATTTAAAGTATATGACCATTTTGGAAAGCTATTTGGAAATAGCAACCAAAGCAGAATATACACATACCCTTTGACCTTGCAAATCCATTCTGAGGTTTATACTCAAGAGAAAGGTGTCATATTTTTACCTTAAGATATGTGTAAGAATAGAGTACAACAACAAACATAATACTAAACAACTGGAGACAAATGCCCCTGCACAGTAAAAGATAAACAAATTATGGGTATAGTTACACAATGAAATACCAATGGGAATGAACTACAAACAGACATAACCACATGGAGCAATGTCACAATTTAATGTTGATTGGAAGAAGCCAGACACTAAAGAATGCATATTCTATATTTCTCTTACATGACTTAAAAACAAAACAAAACACAGACAAAACCAACCTTTGGGGTTAGAAGTTAGAATAGTGGTTAACTTTGCAAGGAGATAGCAGCTGGTAAGCATAATGACAGGGACTTCTGGAGTGTTAGTTTTTGGTGTATTCTGAGTGTCTGGTACGTTGTTAGTGAAAAATAATCAAACTATATACTTAAGAGTTGTGCACTTTTATATAGGTATGTTATGTCCCAATAAAAAGTTCAAAAGCGAAAACAAAAAATGGTAGGGCCTACATGTAAAAAAAATATGAAAACAGAAATTCCATTATAATTGGAGGCATTATTAAGTATCAATGAGTGCATGGTAGAATGTAGTCCGCTCCTAATGGAAAGTTAATAACAAAACTATTAAAGCATATATAGTTAGAAAATTATTTTTCTGGTTGTAGATGAACACAATGCTGCTAACAAATGGCAAATCACTGCATAATCCTTGCAGATCAGTGTCTGAAGTCTTTATGAAATCAGTTTCAAAGCATTTAAGTTTTTCATTTTAAAAATATAGTCCTAGATGTGTACTAATTGTTAAAAGTTAAAAGTATTACAGGGCTTCCATCAAAAACCAGCATTCTCTTGCTTCATACCTCCCAACCTCTCTTGCTTCATACCTCCCAACCTGAAGCCTGTTTCCCTGAGGTAATTATACCTCTTATAACTATTCAGCAGACTTCAAATTTATAATCTTATAATATGCTTATATTCCTTTTCCTTTATTTTTAAAATTTTAGACATAATCCATTGATTTTTCCACCAGAAGACTTTAGTCCTACCACCACTCACATTTTCCCATCCCCTACCCCCCCAATATCTTAATTAAAACATCTTTTTTTTTAAGATTTTATTTATTTATTTGACAGAGAGAGATTACAAGTAAGCAGAGAGGCAGGCAGAGAGAGAGGAAGGGAAGCAGGCTCCCCGCTGAGCAGAGAACCCGACGCGGGACTCGATCCC